TGTTGCGCATGCAGCCCTAGCCAGGTTGGAAAAGAGTTAGCTAGTGGTGGTTAAACCAAAACATGGTTTCATCAGCCAATCAAATAAATCCACAACAGTTGGTTTAGGGCCAGCCAGTCACGTGAGGGGGTGTAGACTTCCTGGTTGGGGTCCTCGGGATGGTAGGAGCCAATGAAGGCTAGAGACAGTTGGTGATATAGCTGGCTGAAAATCGTTCTCATTGATGGCTGGCGCAGATGCATCCACTCCTTGTGACTTATAATACCCAATGAAACTATATTGTTCTTCGTTATTACTATTCTTTTTGTCTCGCACCTCTGCTTTCTTTTAACTTTCTTCTCTTGCTTTGTGTGCTACATAGAGGGAGTGTGGTGACTTGAAGTGCTGCACGTAGGTGCAAATTTCTATTTTAAAAACAGACAGACAGAGAGACTCGGAACCCAAGGGAACAATCCATTCATATTAGTAATAATAATAATAAAGCATCACTTAGCCATAAGTATCATAGTACATAACTGGCACATAGCGTAAACACTAGGGGTATTTGTACTGTACCTTAGTTATTGAATTAAACCACTAATCATTAATTTTCACGTGAGAATATTTACTGTGTACTAATTATATAATAAATATTCTAATATCTATAGTTAAAATAAGAGTTTATCCAATTTAATGCTATTGTGAGAGTATTCACTGGAAACTTATACGTGTATGTGTCTTTAGATTCCGTCCACTTTATTCTTCATCTGTGAGAAGCAGGATGAAATTCCTACGATTATTTTATTATTCATAGGAGTGGTTTTAAGGACTGTTAGATGGCACACCATCTGTCATATTTAAACCATTATAAGTTGGAATCAGTTTCTGATACTAATCACTTTTGGACTACATGAGAACAATTAAGTTTGTTTGCACGACGATTTCATTTGTGTGAATGTTACTCATTGGATTAAGTACCTGGCTTTCAACTAATGGGTCCTTGATTTGAGTCCTGATCCAAACACCACCTACTTCGTCCGCGACAACTTGGTTGTATCACTAGTCATTATACAATACGTGTTACTCATATTCACGCTATGTGGATCATCCCTTCAGAGTAAATGATCTCAAAGCGTGTTGAACACTTCATTTATTTAGGAATTTTCATCTGAAGCAATGAGTTGATTCTTGCTGACAAGATCGCAGTACAGATACAAAAGTTTGGTGTGGCAATAGCCAACCTATATCACCTCTGGTGTAGACTTGATATCTGGCTATCGGTCAAAGGACATGTGTACTGCCCATCAGTTCTCACCATCCCGCTTTATAGCTATGAGAAATGGCCATTAGATGTTAAAGGTATGAAAAGGATAGCTGTCTTTTATCGTAGGTGTCTCCGCTCTATCTCCTATGTTAGGTGGTATAATAGGGCGAGTTATTTTGAGGTGAGGCATCGACTGAGTGATTGGAGAGGAGGGAAAATCAATCGACGAGGTAGTGAAATTACATCAATTCAGTGAAGTGGTTAGGACATGTGTTACGCATGCCTAGCCATGGCCTTCCTCAATAAAAAATGTTAGCTCACATAGGATCAGGTTGGAAAAGAGCCAGTTATAGTCAAACCAACCAAATCCATAACAGTTGGCTTGAGTCACGTAGGGAAGTATAGACTACTGTTTGGTTTAGGTCCTTGCGATTCTACGAACCAATGGTTGGGGGCAGTTAGTGATGTGACTCAAAATGGTTCTCATTGGCGTGAAGATGCATTTACTCTTTGTCGTGCGTCATGTCCAATAAAACTCTATTGTTCTTCCATATTAATCTTCATTTTCCCTCACTAACAATTGTGTTTATCATCACTCCTTTGAATTTCTCCTTACTGCTTTATCTTGCCGTGTGTACTACACTGAGGGAGTGTGAGAACTCGATCTGCTTCACATATGTGGAAAGTGCTCCGTTGAAACCAGCCAGTCAGTCAGAGTGTATCATATTTTCCTGGCAGTGAGTCATAAAATACACTCGCGCACCTTTTGAATGTCTCTCAAACTACCAATGCTCATTTGTCGACGATGAAGGAAAGATGCCATAAAGGATAAGTCTATGCTTCATATGGAATAGTTTGGTGTCACATGACGTCCTTGAAGAAACTGGATGGGGATAAAATGTGTTGCGTGAAAATTACTTCGAGGATTCTGTGTAAACATTCTGTAAACATTTTATCCGGAATAAATCTATTGGTATTATTATTATTATGAAACCACGTGGCTTTTCGGAGTACATTATGCAGGATTCAGATCCTCGTGCCTTTCATTTTATCTATACACAGGCTTGAACAGATTGTATATAATTTAAATATTCCTATAATCATAATTATATAATTATCTATAGGTGGTTTGTAAGGAATAGTTTTGTTTCTATGAGTTGATCACGGATTGATTTCATTTAGAGAACCATTGAAAACCAGGGAGAACTGGAAAGCCAGCTGTTTCATCCTACTTCGGGAATCATCAGCAGTACACACTCACAACCAGGGTTTGAACCCAGGACCTTCCGGTTACAAGGCACGCTCGTATACCATTCAGCCTCTGGGACCCGATTCAATGGCCAGCACATGGATTCTAATTTCTATTAATTTGTGATTTAGCGAGACCACCATGGGTCATTGAATCGGATTCCAGTGGCTGAATGGTATATATGAGCGTGTCTTGTAACCGGAAAGTCCTGGGTTCGAACCTCAGTGAGTGCGTGCTCCCGGTGATTCCCAAACTAGGATGAAACAGTTGACTGTCCAGTTCTCCCTGGTTTTCAATGGTTCTCTAACTGATATCAATCCGTGATCAACTCATAATTATTTAACACGATTTAAGCAAGCGAACTTCATTTTGAAGTTACATTGAAGTATTCAATGAAGATGTTGCCTAGTAGGGCAATGAAAGCTTCACAAATAAACCATCCACCTTAGAGAGCACAACTACATCAAAATCATCCCCCTAAGCTACAAATCTTCTCCAGTAATAAAGTTAGCAATACAAATAAAAATAAGATAATGTTTACACTTATCTCATGTCATCGGGTGAAATAGCAGTTCTTGGTTGGCAGTGATGGCCAGGGGAGGAAGAGAGAGATTGAACCCGCTTTTTCTGAACACAGAGGTTGAGTTGAAAATTTCGTTTTATGGCAACTGCCTGAGTCATGCCTAGCAACCGAAGACGTATCTTGTAAAGGATTATAAAAGCTGAGTTACTGTCAATCTTGTGCTTGGTATCCACCACTAGGTGTGGTAGTATGGAACTTCTGATTGACTTTACATCCCTCTTTACCTAACCATATTGGACAGTGCTCAAGAAGGCAACGGCGAATTCACCCAGTCGTTCTATCTATGTAACTGTTTCCACATGACCAATTAAAGTTATAAATACACACTGAAATGGCCAGACACGGTAGCTTATCCTTCGCCTACAATGGAATTATGCAAAGAATGGCGAATGTTCCGGCAAAAAATAGTTTAGCTAAGATTTTTCCAAGCAAGTTTTGACACCAGTAATTCAACGGCTGAGTCTCCTTTGAACAGTAAAGTCACATATATGTTCAAGTAGTGGCTTTTTTGCAGGGATTTAGTTTGATTGATTGGAGGCAGTCAGCTAGTCACTACATTAGTTGAAAGGCATCTGAATACATGCGGAAAATGGTCTAAAACCATACTCTCAGACCCCCAACACCCCCTTTATTCCCAACTCTCGCCTTGTATCTCATCAAATAGAACCAGAAATCAGTATAAAATAGTCTATGCTCGTACAACCAATTACAGGAACTCAACGATACCATACTTGGCCCGTGTTCTAAGCAACAGAGACAATGTTAAGCCCGAAACCTATGACTTGCTTTGTTGTTAATAACATAATTTTAGGCTCTTTTATTTCTCTCTTATTTTGTATTCTATAGTGAACTCCTTCTCAAACATACTTAGCTACCTAAATTATTAACATTGGCTTCCTTTTTTCGTACTTTACTGTATTCCTTCTTTTGTGTATCTACTGGTTCCGACTATATTAGCACTATGAGTAGTACAAAAATTTTCCTGTCATTAACCATCATGTAATTATTAGTTTTATGGTTGTTTTTTCTTATTTTCTATACTTTTCGGCAATATTAAACTGACAATCATTGTTTGTGAACGTCATAGTCACCACCTTAAAAAATTTTGTATAATGCAGGATTACTCACACTACCACTACAAACACTGCGTTAGACCTGACAATAAAAAACAAAACAACAACCCTGAAATGTTATTTTATGATTGTTTAGAGTTGTTTCTACCAAATTAACTGATCATCTTGGTGATAAACATTTTTTAATATCATTTCATAACTTCTTGTATGACTATAGCTTTACTGTCACCATGCATAATCATATCATAGCTTCCACTACCCAATACTGAGATATTATTATATGCTGTTTATTTTCCTTTCTACTTTTTGGTATTTTTTCGCATTTTTTAAAATTATTTTTGTGTTTTTTTTGCTGTTGTTGTGTTTATATTTATTTTTTGAAATACTCCTTTTAAACGTTGGATAAAATTAAATGCAAATATTGTAGATATGTGCTGAAAGTTCCACACTGTACCACTAGTACTGTTTCTGGAATAAAGCAAATTATTATTATTATTATGAGCTGACATCAGATAGAGAACCATTGGATAGCCAGCTGGGAATGCTGAACAGCCGTTTCGTCACAGTTTGAAACTCTTCATTAGTGTGGACCCACCAACATGGTTTGAACCCAGGACCTTCTGATTACAAGGCGAGCTAGCTTGTAGACCATTAGGCCACTGGGACCCGATCCAATGTCTGCGTTTCTTCTAAATAATTTGCAGGCATCTCTTCTTATCTGTTCTCCTCATAGAGACCTTAACAAATTGGTATTCTCACAATGTATATTCATTTACTTAGTTAGCGCTTAAACGACTCAATCGTTTATATTTATTTGCTTGTTTTTCTCCCCACATCTTTACTTTATCTTAGGTAAGAGAATTACTCTCTCAATGTACTTGTAAACAAACTTTTCCAATGACACGTATTGGTGAAGGACGTTATCTGTTCGGTGATAAAAGTACACAAATATTTGTTCGCGTAAGTGTTGATTGAGTTATTTTGATTTACTTTTCCTATCTCGTTTTTGTTTTGTTTTGTTTTTCTTCAAGATGTGAAGGAAACTCGATATGATTTCAGTTCATTCTTCTTAAAACGAAAATACTCATTAAATAGGGAATTGTAACCATAGCAACGTTTATATGTATCTATGTTTGTTCGTATGGGTGCGTGGGGGGGGGTCCACTCTCGTCCTACATGTGTTAAGTTGTTTTTATTATTGATAAATGTATTCCTAAAACTATTACATAAGTGATTACAATCAAAACAAAAGTGATAATAATAATAATAACGATGATGGACACTAGTCTCCATAACCAAGACTTAATTTTTATCGTTTTTGATTAATTTGAATTGCAAATGAATGGAGAGGAATATAGGGACAGTGAAAAACAATGACAGCAAAAACAAGGGAACTCTTTCAGTCTCTAGCTTGATCTTACCTTTCAAGTGTAATGGTTAGATGACGGATTGATATCAGTTGGAGATTCGTTGAAGTATTCCGGGACACTTCAGTGGCACGTATCTATGGCGATATCATCAAGGATAGAACTGAAAATTCCATAATAGTTAAAAATTTATTTTGATAAAGTCTCACAATGTTGTTATATAGTATTAATATTTACTGATGACCACGTTTCGAGCACAATTTATATACACTGCTCATAATCCCAATATCAAGGCACTACTCACACAACTTTCTAAATTCTTGATTGGTAGTTATATTTTCCATATTTCCGGTATGAGGGATGAGTTATTCCTGTTGCACGTGTTGGGTGTAGACTCGATGAACCAGGCAGGATTCAGTAATCAACCTCTCTCTCCCTCCCCACCTACCTAGATTACTTCTTAGGATTTTAACCCTCTCCCATCCTATTGTGTGGTTGTGAACTAATCTTATGTAATTCTTACATTAGAGTTTAGTTAAGGTAAAAGTGGTTGACCCCGAGGAGATAAGTAATTTAGAAAAAAGCTTAGCGATTGCACTGCATGCATTAACACAAGGTGAGGAGGCCGCTGGGTGACATCGCGCGTCGGGCCCTCGAGTGGAATTCGAAAGGGAAGCGGCGAGTGGGACATCCATGGGTGACATGGAGGAGATCGTGCGAAGAGGAATTGAAACAGTATGGATTAACATGGATGCAGGTGAAAAGTACAGCAGAAGACAGAAGCAAGTGGAGACGTGTATTTGAAGCCCTATGTTCCACTAGGAACCCAAGGGAACAATAATAATAAAAAATTAGCACACAACCACACATCATTGTGGGTGAAAGAGGGTTGAAGTTCTAAAAAGCAATATCAGTAGTAGGTGCAGAGATAGAGGTTGATTATTGAATCCTGCTTGGTTCATCGAGTCTACACCCAACAAGTGCCATACGATGCAATTACTCATCGGTGGCACAGCTGTTAGGACTCTCGCCGATCATGCAAATGGTCCGGAGTTCGATCACCTGCCGACGCACACCCGATATCTATGGTCGGCCTGCAAAATTTGGGCTACCGATATCCATGCTGAAAATTCCATACTTGTACTGAAAATACGCTGTAATAAAATTTTAAAAAAATCACTCATACCGGAAATATGGAAAATACAACTACCAATCAAGTCAAACGATGAAAAATAATGGTGGAATTATATAAACGAAGTTAGAAAGTTGTATGAATAACTTAATAATGAGATTATGAGTAGTGATAAATTGTGCTCGAAACGTTGTCATCAGTAAATATTACTTACTGTATAACAACATTGTGAGACTTTTCTAAAATGAATTTCACCCATAAAGAAATTATACTCTACCACAGTTACATAGAACTGATTACCTTTAAGGTTAATTGGAGATACTGTTGAATATTTAGATATTGGGAAAAGGTGTAATGGTGCATATATACTGAATGGTGTTCATTGGTTCATTGGTTGATGTCATTTGTTAATCTAATCTAAATCCACTCAGAACAAGGTGGATTCAGGAAAAGCAAATCATGTGCTCATCAAATTGCTACTCTAAGCATCATCGGTATCATCGAACGTAGCACAGAATGACAGTCAAATGTCCACCTCACTTTCATTGATTTTGAAAAGGCATTCGTTAGTGTAATTTGGAAACTTCTTCAACAGTATGACATGAAGTACCCAAGTCTTTATCAACCTCGTTCAACAGCTATGTGACAATGGCACGTGTCAGGTGGTTCAAAATAGAAATCTCAACAAAGCCTTCGAAGTGAGCACAGGAGTAAGACAAGCTTGGCTGCCTATTATCACCGATGATCTCCCTAATTGTTGTGGACTGAATTATGAGGAATACTGTATGCAGGAAGACAGAAGGCAGGAATATGCAGGACCGATAAGACGACTCTAGAAGATCTGGATTTCAAGGAAGATTTGTGTCCAATGTCACACAAGTGCAAAGGTCTACAGAAGAAAACCAACAAGTTGACAAAAGAAGCTGGCAGCGAAGACAGGACTCCAGGTTAACATAAAGAAGGCGGAGGTGATGAAGATAACCAACCACCATCACTATCAACAGCAACAATGACCAGCACCAATCAACATCAGCAGGAGAAACCTGAAAGAGGTCACCTCATTCACTTATCCAGAAAGCATCATTTCAGCTACAAGCGACAGAACGTATGAGGATATCAAGGCCAAGAAGGATCAGAAAGGTGAGACAAACCTTCGTCACCCTGAAATCACTTTTTAAACCTTCTGCACACAGTCACCATAAACAACAAATTTGGGATATTCAACAGAAGTCAGTCAGCCAGTTCTTCCTTATAGTTCATGAACTCGCACTGTGTGTCTCGGAAAGCATTCTAAACAGGTTATTACAGACCTTTATCAACAGCTGCCTTCCCTCCATATTCAAGAACAACTGGCAGAAGGAAGTGGTAACAAGATACTCTGCAGTGGGACAAACCAACCAAGAACCTATTGTTCAGCAAATATGTAGGAGAAAATGGAGATGGATTGTGCACACACTGGTGGTTTGAACTAATATGACTCTCTGATCTAAAACAAAGCTGGTACTCCTCTGATGAGCACGACCCCAGTCGAATAATATAACCATTCGATATTTATATTCTTTTCGATCTGGCTAACAAGCATTAAAGTATTTTTTTAGTGCGAATAACTTCAAACTACTTATATCAGTCAGTCACACAGTAGTATATATATACAATAATGTGAGATCAATTTTACCTCGAATATTTCTTTTACTAAAATCTCTTCATTCAATCTCTGCGGGTTACACCGACTCTTTGTGTCATTACAAATAAATTAGTTGTAAGTAAGTACACAGATATACCTCTCTCTCTACATATATGTAAGACAGTAAGAATTATAGCCTGCTGAGTTAAAATAATGATGGTCTCATTACCTAAACTTTTAATTCGAACGAATCTTGTGTACTAATTCTGCTTTTAACATGTAAAGTAGTGAAGCATCATATTTCTTCGCAATCATTACCACTTAATAATAATAATAATAATAATAATAATAATAATAAAATGAATGTGTCAATGAACATGGTGAGAAGTAACACACGAATAAATACAACAATATGAGTGCATTCTGTGTGAGCTGTACTCATCAATATCACTTTCTCAATCCGTGAACCACTAAAGCACACCTACACACATTCAATTAACATTGAAACAAAGACATTTTTGAGTTTATTTAACACAATAACTAGACAGTCATACACGCACACTTGTATACATTTCTGTCATTTAGTAGTAAGTAATTCAATAAGATGGAACTTTAGTTTAATAGAGTCTGTCAGTGTCCCAATTCAAGTATATTCTCAAAAGTATTTCAAACATTAATATATATTTAAAATATTGCAGTTTAACTTGGTTAACTACTTAAATGAATTAAGTAGGTTTACGTGTTTACTGTAAATAATTGGAATCACCGGACATCAGCGAATGGTCTGTTTTAAGAGTCGATCTCGTTTGGCATTCAGCCAACTCTATGGAATCTAATCTACCATAAAACTAATCCAAACCCCTACAAAGGTCGAAGTCTGAGTGCCATTTTTCTGCCCACCAGTGGCTTCAGAATACATATTCTGAAATTCCAATATGAAGTTGTAACCAGTGAGTGCACCCCTCCAGGATGGAATAGGTTCTTCTCTAAACTAATAATTTTGTTGCTGCCCTATTTTGTGGGGGAAATTGTATATAAATACGAATGTACAGCTAAAGAGAAAAATGAATTCTCCGAAAAAAGTCTCTTCGCCGAACTAAGGATTTTGTTCTCATTAATGTCTGAATGGGGATTATTTATGAAACGTTTATGAGTTTGTTGCTAAAAATATATTTTAAGAAACTACTCAGCAAGCATATTAGCTGTGTGATGTTTAACAATGTACTTCATAGTTCATTGACAGTATGTTGTAACAACAGAAGACAAGGGCCGCCAGGCAACAGATCGTTTATTAAGGAAAATCAACACATATTTATAGATTTTAATGTACATTATTGTAGGTTAATGTTAGTAGAAAATACAGTCTGTTGATTGGTTGTTTCTCACAGAAAGTTAACCTTGCATCTGTTTGTGGCTGTGTCAGATCATCCATATACTGACTGTATCCGCCTATGCAAAGCCTTTGTTCTCATTTTCTCACCACCAATATTGGGGACATAAACATTGACATCAATAACTGTCTATCAACTTTGGCCAGCAGCCAGCTCTCACCACATGTACATGCTTGCTAACTAGTTTGGTGTGGTTTAAACACCGGACAGTCATTTTACTCGTTTGCAGCCTGCCTCACTTGCGGTGCCCTCTACTCAGAAAACAGATTCAGATGAAACCGCCTGAGTCCTGGTGAACAAACGCCTACCTTGATCTGAATATTTTCGGTTTCCACTGGATAATATGGTGATTTTATGTCTCAAAATTGTAAAGTTGGCAATTTATAAATTTGAGTATTCACCGTTTTCCATTATTTTACTTTTCATTCTTATTTAGATTTTAAGAAATCATGTTATGGTGAGAGTCGGTGGTGGTTGGGATACACTGAGTCATTTCCTTTCAAAATACGATGAATGTCGTAAAGTGAATCCAGGTTAGTATATCTCGATATGAATTAATAATCTTAAATATTTCATTAAGAAGAGTTTAAAAGTGTTATTTTTAACTGTTCACACATTTTAAATCATGTGGCTGAAGCTAAAACAAATGCTTTATCCTTGATCCTTGGGATTGGACAGATGGGTATGCCTGCATTCCATAGCATAAGAGGTGTGGCTTTTGTGTCCCAGTGTCCTAGTGTGTTACTATTCAGCGTTTGATATTATAGGTGCTAGGTATCGATTGAAAGCAGATGTTGATGGACGTTAGTGGTCTGTTGAAACTGTCTGCTTAACCAGCCCGTCCTATGTCTAGAAAAGAAAGAAGATTAGACATAAGAATGGCAATTTCATCCCCTAATAAAATGCCCCTCATCTCTGTGCAGACTTCAAAACAATAAGTAATGTACATGAATGGGAACCTTGCAGAAGAAATGGTGATTCATATGTTAAATCCGGAAGTCTGCATACAAAAGAAGTTTGTTCAGTCATTAAATCTATAATGGATCTCATCTCTCTTAACACCAAAGACGTAATTTTTGTTTTTTGTTTCTTAATTGTATTATTGCACAGTTTCTGCCCTGTTCGGTACAAAATAGCCTTAGTACGGTGTTTCTTCAGTAGAATCCATTGAATATGCACTGAAGATACACTTGAAGGGGAGGAAAGAAAGTCAATGCAAACTCTGGTTGATAATAATTATCCAGACAACTTCATAAGGAGATATACAGTAGTCAGAACACCAAAACCAACTCTCCAACTCACCCTTAAGAAAGACGTGTAAATCAAGCTACCATATATGAGTGATTATAGCAGCTTGAAAACTAGACAAAGATTGAACGCTGCTGTCAGAAAGATTTTCTATGCAGCTAAGATTATACTGATTTAGAATGTGACGCTAATATGTCCATCTAAGCCCTTTGAACATGCGAAAACTAATGTCACATCCTACTGTATTTACCAGTTTGAATGTATGTGTAGACACACACACTTAGGGAGGACTCATCGCTCTCTGCAAGTGAGTGCTTCAGAGCATATCTCTTAATTGATTCAGAAGCAAACAGAATCCCCAGAACCCGCAAGTGATGAGGACAGACGAACTAGCTCCTCTATTGTGAAACATATTATAGAGACAGGACATAAAATCGATGTTGCTACATGTCTTTTGAACCTATATATAGAACGTGTTTAGGGTGTATCCTAAAGATTGTGGAAGCCCTAACAATTAGATATTTTAAACCACCTTTATGTGTCCAAAGCAACAATTCGTTATCACACTAAACCACCTTCCTTGTTCAAACTTTGTTTTGATACCATAGCAGATGTACTATTACCAATCTAATTTAGTTTTGTGATCTTCATTGTTATTTTGACCTTGAATATGTCCTTTTAACTTGATCTAACTCGTCTATTTTCTCACCTCTTAACGGTGTATTAATTTTATACATATATACAATCCTATGACAAGTTCGTGTGTAATCAAATTGTACGAAATGTGTTGTGTAAATAATACGTTACACGTTTCAAACAAATTACGTCTTCCTTATTGCTTTGTCTAAATTCATAAAGGGCGTTAATTATTTTAAGTATTCATTTTGTTTTCCGAGTTTCACCACGGATTGATATCAGTTAGAGAACCACTGAAAAGCAGTTCTGGAGTATTGATCAGCTAACCGTTCCATCCTAGTTTAGGAGTCATCAGAAGTATTCACTCACCACAGGGATTCGAACCCAGGACCCTCTGGTTACAAGGGTAGCTCGTTCAGCCACTGGGATCCGATTCAATAGCCAGCCCATGAATTATATATTATTATTATATTATTGTTCCCTTGGGTTCCTAGTGAAACACAGGGCTTCAACTGCACATCTCCACTTACTTCTGTCTTCTGCTGTACTTTTCACCTACATCCATGTTCATCCATACTGTTTCAGATCCTCTTCACACCATCTCCTCCATGTCACCCTTGCACGTCCCACTACTCACCGCTTCCCTTTCGAGTTCCACTCGAGCTATGGCCTGACGCGCGATGTCACCCATCGGACTCTTCAGCAAGTGTCCAATCCATCTCCACTTTCTCCTGCATATTTGCAGAGCGACTAGTTCTTGTTTTGTTTGTTCCCATAGTTTCTTGCTGGTGATTCTTTCCGACCATCTGATCTTCAGTATAGAGCCAGCGAAGACAGATGTTGTTGATAAAGGTTTGCAACAGGCTGTTGGAAATATTCTTTGTGACCCGCCAAGTTTCTGATCCGTATAGAAGAACTGACTGATTTGACGTTTGTATTGAAAATCGGAATTTTGTTGTTGATGCTGAGTGACGAAGATTTCCAGGTTGGTTTCAGGTTGATGAATGTGTTTCTCGCCTTACCGATTCTCGATTTGACATCGTCGTTCGTTCCATGTGCCTGTAGTTGAGACAATGCTCCATACCTAGATAAGTGAATGAAGTAAGCTCTTTCAAATCCCTCCCGTTGATGGTGATTGTTGCTGGATGTTGCTGCTGTTGTTGTTGGTTGGTTATTTTCATGACCTCCGTCTTGTCTATGTTCACCTGGAGTCCTGTCTTCTCTGGCTGCTTCTTCGACCAGTTTGTCGGTTTTCGCTTGTAAGTCTTTGATTTTGTGTGATATCAAACATAAGTCATCCACGCGCGAAATCCAGGTCTTCTAGGTTCTTCACGTCGGTCCAGGATATCCCTGTCTTAGCCCATGAATTATAACTTCTACTAATTCGCACTGCTAATGATTCTCAGACTAGGATGAAACAGCTGTCCTATACTCCAGTAATGGTTCTCAATAGTTCTCTAACCGATATCAATCCGTGGTCAAACTCGTAATAATAAATCAAATCCGTAAAAATTAGTTCTTGAAAATTCTTTTTGTTGTTAAGAAAATTTACTACAGCTATGCAGTTGTAAAGTTTGAGAATAATATCGTTGAAAAGAGGAGTAACTCTTCGCTGAAAGCCTTTTCTTTTATACATGAGTTAAATTAGAAAAACACAAAAACATTTTCACTGATGAAAACTGCCCATTAAAATAATCAAAAGAATGGATAGTGAACAAAGAATCCTCTTTTCGATAACACCTTCCTTATCAAGAAATTGAATGTCAGAAATATTAGGAAAGATAATATTGCAAATTCATGAATTTATAGTCTCTACTGAAGGTCAGGGCAGTAGAAGTGGCTGGACTTGCTTCTTTTGCAAACAGAGCACTGGTTGTTTTAGGCGAATTGCAATAGCCTCTGCTGTTTGGAGCAAGCGGTGTTTCGATGTTTTTGGCAATTTATTAGGCACACGATAGATGATGATAGAGAAGGATTCTTCAATGCTGGTTTTGTGGCCGGTTTGGAACAGGTGGCCTAATATTGAACTGTTGATGATGGTTTCAACTACACCTTTACTTAGCCACACTAGTAAGTGTTCCCGAGTGTGCATGAAAAATCAGCTTCCTAGAGCAACGGCCGATATAACCCGCTCCACGACGAGCACAGTTGAATTCTTGGATACAGGTAGAAGTGGCTAGTCCAGGTACGTCATCTTTCAGTCGAGGAATCACCATCGGTTGTGTAGAGAATAAAACGTGTAGTTTGCCAGCATTAAAAGTTCTCTGAACTGATTTTCTTAATTTCTTCGTAATTATTTCACTTGGTATATCGCCCTTCATTTAAATAGAAAAAGTACTTGAACAGGATAATATACATATTTTCACAGCTTTTTTCCTTTCAAGTACAAAAGAAATTTAGTGAAGACCCTCAGCTACATAGTTAGAGCTATATGTTCAGTAATTGAAGATGAATTAAGCATTGTATATGATACTTTGATCAAAAATGGCTATCCCGAAAAATTTATCAAGAAACATATGACAAAGAAAGCGGAAAAGGACTACTCACTATCCGTAAACACGAAGCCTCTTTATATAGGACTGCGATTCAAGGGCGATATACTTGGTGAAATAATTATTAGGAAGTTAGGAAAATTCATTCAAAGAACTTTTAATACTGGCGAACTACACGTATTATTCTCTACACGATCGATGGCTATTCCTAGATTGAAAAATGAAGTAACTAGACTAGCCACTTCCAAATGTATCTACCAATTCAGTTGTGCTCGTCATGGAGCGGGTTATATCGGCCGTTCATCCGGGAACTTGATTTTTCGTGCACTCTTGAAAACATCTACTTGTGTGGTTAGATAAAAGTGTAGTGAGAAGCACCAACAGTTGGATATTAGACCACCTGGTCCAAACTGGTCACAGAATTATTATTGAGCAGTCCTAATCTATCATCTACCAAGTGCCTAATAAACTGCCATAATCATCGAAGCACCGCATGCTCCAAACAGCAGAGGCTATTGCGATTCGCCTTGAACAACCAGTACTCTGTGTGCAAAAGAAGCCAGTCCTGCCCCAACTACTGCCCTGGCCTTCAGTAGAGACTATAAATTCATGAATTTGTAATATTATCTTTCCTGATGTTTTTCTGACATTCATTTTATTGTTATGTCGATGCTGTCGAACTGCGATCCATTGATATCATTATTGTTGATTCGATGTTATATGAACAACATTAATGTTGTTCATAACACTAATTTATTCACTATTGTGCATGGATATATAACTGTAGAACCTGATGAAGAGCAGGTTATCGAAAAGAGTATTCTTTGTTCAGTATCCGTTTTTTTGAAAAATATTTTCATTTTAATTCAGAATGACAATTTTTAATAAATACATAAATACACACTGAATGCCTGATCAGAGTCTAAATTTTATTTTCCGCTAATGATTCTTGTTAAATCGGTTCACTTTTATATAAGAAAAAAAGGATTAGTTAACTATTGAACAAAATATAATATTGAATCAGTACATAGTGCATTCACTCTTGAGTTGAACATTAGTACGGAGTGTGTGTATCAAACAAATTGATGGTGTTTGTAGATATATTTTAGGTTTTACTTACTTTTGCCTACTTTAAATGTACTCAAATTTAATCAACT